TTTAGTAAAAATATAATATTTATATATATCTAAAGGGCTCTTCCTATTCTGTTTGGTGAACAAATGGGTGATTCAAATTCGCAATAGTTTCCTCCATGAGTTTACTTCAGAGGACGCCGTGAATAGTTGGATTTCTCCAATTTTTTGTGCCAAAACCGGTAACTACAGCTATCCCCGGATTTGGAAGAGGTTTATCCAAATTATCAGTCGTTTTCTAGTTTTCTTTTCCAATCAAAATGTATGTTATTTGAAATAAGTTCACTTTGCTTTTTTCATGAATAAATAAAAATAATAAAAAAATTTTGTCCTGTTTATTTATACTAGAATAAGTCAGTAACTCAACAAAAACACACACATTTGAGGTCAATAAATATAGTGCAGGGCATAGTGGCGCATTCGTTTGCAAAATTGTTTTAATTCGCAATTTTTTTTTTAAAATGTCCGGAAGGCTTTCCTGATTATAAAAGTGTAAGATGACACTCGATATCTGTTGATGTTATTGTTTAAATAACGAAAAACTAATTAAGCCAGAAAAATGCATTGTTTGCAATGAATTAATTTTTTTTATATTCTTTAGGATATTTCAAATAAAAAAAGTCCCTACGCCCATCATCGTATCTTTAACCCTTTAATTGTTAAGAATGTTTTAAAATCCGAAATTGACGAAAATTATAATTTTCTTGAAATAAATAATATACACCTTAAAATTTAAAATGCTATAATTTTAAATTTTTACCGAATATTCAAACTATAATAAACAAAATAACCTATATATATTTTCAAAATTTTGTTTGTTATGTTTTTTTTTACGTTATAACAATATGCTTCCTACGCGCTTGTACTTTTAGAGAGAAGTACTTCTATCTCACTTCCAACTCAATGTATAAGATGGGTTAGAGAAAGCCCGATGACGCGCTGAATCAATTTTTTGCTGTTTTTTAGTAAGTAGTAAGTAATAAGTTTAAAAAAAAATATTAATAACATTTTTCATAACACTTTGTTATATTTGTCGATTAATAGTTTTGTATCATGTGATTTTTTTTTACTTTTTTATATACTTTTGATAACTTTTTTATTTATTAAAAGTAAAATCTTCTTCAATCTTTTTTTTTTCATTACGATAAAAAGGCCAAATGCACTTGTCGTGATCCGTGAAAAATTTCTACCTGTTACAATGAACATAGTAGGCTTACTGGGGGTTATAAAATTTTATGATTTCAAAGATATCCAAGCCTTTCTCCATTTAACAAAAATAAGAAAAAAAAATTTCCATTTACGTCGGATGCTTTGAAATTGCATACTTTACGAGCTTCGTTTCAGACTTATATTTGGAGGAATTCAAATCAATTTCAATATGAACCTTTAGATTTCTCTGGTTTTGGTTATGTTTTCTGTGATAACCAAATAAAGCCACTGTATTTAACAAAACCGCCATTACCCGAAGACTTAGCAAAACCGTGCAACTGTAAAAAAAAATTGTGTAACGAAAGCTTGTTCGTGTCAAAAACTAAACATGACGTGTGTGGCATTATGCGGATGTTTAATTGAATGTTGCCAAAACAAATTTCATGTAAAAACTAGTTAGATGTACAAACTATAATTTTATGTAAAAATTTTCTTAATAAATGAATATTACTATTAAATAATTATAGTGGAAAAGAATTAACAACCATAGAAAAAATTGAATACATATAAATTGCGTAGTGTTTTAAAAATAGGGAATATACCTCTTGGTCGCCGCGGTCAGTTTTACCCAAATTTAATCCTTTCGCTATTCGAAAGGTATAGGCCACTTGGTCTCCAAACCTGGATTAAGAGTTCCAAGAAAATTATGGGGTTATTTAATTACTCTAATTATAATATCGGTTTGTGACCTGTCGAGAACTAAAATAAAAATATTTTTCATCAGTTAATTGTCTGCATTCTTACTGAAAAGATTAATTTTTTTATTTTAAAAGTGATTCTCATCTTATTCATTATTCCATAAAAGAAGTTTTGAGTTTGTGTTGCAATGGAGTCGATGTTAAGTGTAAAAGGAAAAAAGTTGTTAATTGTAAAAAAATATACATTTGGAAAAGACAAGGAAACAAAGTTAGGTGTATCATATAAGTGTACTCGTCGTGGGTGTAAAGCGACTATTGGAGTGGACGATTCGGAAACTGTCTTATTGAAATCTAAGAGTGAACACAATCATCCACCATCGGACCATTTAGATGTAAAAAAACTTCAAAACGGATTGAAAAGAAAGGCAACAGAAGATATTTGCGTTAAACCCAGTAAGTTAATTAATAACGGAATCCGAGGGGAAGGAAATACTTTTAATGTATCCACTACGGATGTTGACCTCATCAGACGAAGCATATACAGGGCAAGAAGAAGTATATTGCCACCTTTGCCAAAGTGTATCAGTGATGTTCATAGTGTACTGAAAGCAATACAATGTGTTACAAATAAGGGTGAACAATTTTTATTATTTAACAATGAAGATTCACAAATTATTTTATTTTCGTGTGATTCAAATTTAAAATACTTGTGTTCTCGTGATAGTATTTATTGCGACGGCACATTTAATTATTGCCCTAAATTTTTTTTACAATTTTTCACTATACATGCTGTTGATAACGGACACTACATACCATTGGCATTTTTTGTTTTACCAGATAAAAGAGCAAGTACCTATGCAACTGCATTTAAATTATTAAAAGATTACTGTTATAATAATTTAAATTTAGATTGGAAGCTGTGTAAAGTTATTTGCGATTTTGAGAAAGCCATACACACTGGTATTATACAGATTTGGCCTGATATCTTAATTATTGGATGTAGATTTCATTTAACCCAATCGTGGTTACGTAAAATACAAAATCTGGGTTTGATTTCCGAATATAAAAATGAAAATTCTGAAATCGGCAAATGGCTTCATTACACTTTCGGCATTTTATTTTTGGAAAGTACTGAAGTGGCAGAGTGTTTTTGTAAAGATTTAATTCCAATAATGCCATTTGACGAGAGATTAACTTCATATACTCTTTATATGATTAATACGTATACTAGCGATACGTCTGACTTCCCGCCTACAATGTGGGCATCGTGCACAAGTTCCACAGAACGCACAACAAATGCTTGTGAGTCTTTCCACAAACATTTTAATTCTGCTTTTTATTCGGCGCATCCCGATATATTCAAATTTGTTAATGTAATTCTCGATATTCAGTTAAATACTTATGTGAAATTAAACAGTACACATATACCTAACAAAATTAAAAACGCTAATTACAAAAAACGGCATGCGTATTTAACGAACGTAATAGAACAATATAAAAATAAGATCCTTTCACGAACTCAATTTATCAAAGTAGTTTCTTATCATTACAAAAATTAATTGCAATTTGGGTTTCTTAAATAACTTTTATTTGGTATTTTGTGTATTTTGAACCTACTTTTTTTTATTATGTATAATTTTATATTGTTTTCTATTAATTATAAGTGTTTTTTTAATTTGGTTTTATTCTTTTCCTGACCCACATTCTGTACCATATCATATCAGTTAAAAATTTCTATTCACGTGGAAAATAATAAAAATCAGTTAAACTATTTTTTTCTTAAAAATATTATTTTCAATAAATCGAAATAGATACCTTTAATGATTGATAACTACGGCGACCAAGAGGCCTACCTGATTTTAAAACTGGAGACCAAGTGGTCGATGAGATTACGGAACCCCGCTGACAAAACTAACCGCGGCGACCAAGTGGCCAACACCCTTAAAATAAAAACCAGATGAGTCAACTATGCTCATCGTAATAGGTAGAAATTTCCCTTAAATTACGGCAAGTATGTTTTCTTTTTTTATCTTATTGGAAGAAAATGAGAAAAATTTATTTTTTAGACAGCTCTTGGAAATGATTTTTTTTGTGGATGGAACATTTCTATTAACTTCAATGAATAAAAAAGTTATCGAAAGTATCTAAAAAAGTAAAAAAAAATCACATAATACAAAACTATTAATCGGCAAATATAACAAAGTGTTATGAAAAATGTTAGTAATAATTTTTTTAAACTTATTACCCATGAAAAACAGCAAAAAATTGATTTAGCGCGTCATCGGGCTTTCTCATCTTATAGAGTGAGAAGTGAGATAGAAGTACTTCTCTCTAAAAGTACACGCGCGTAGGAAGCATATTGCTATAACGTAAAAAAAACATAGCAACAAACAAAGTTTTGAAAATTTATTTAGGTAATTTTGTTTATTATAGTTTGAATATTCGGTAAAAAATTTAAAAGTATAGCAAATTAATTCATTGCAAAAAATGCATTTTTTCTGGCTTAATTAATTTTTCGTTGTTTAAACAATAACATCAACAGATATCGAGTGTCATCTTACACTTTTATAATTAGGAAAGCCTTCCAGACATTTAAAAAAAAATTACGAATTAAAGCAATTTTGCAAACGAATGCGCCAGTATGCTCTGGTCTAATAGGCAAGTAATATAATTTCACAGGTAATAATTATTTACATTGTTGGTTGTATAATTAACAACCTATTTCAAAAAAACGAAATTTAACCTAAAATTTGTTTTTCAAAAACATCAAAATGTTGTTTAAAATGGCCATACTAAAAAACTTTAATTTTTGACTTACCGACTTATTCACAGATGGTACAGATTTATTCTTAGAGCTAAACGATTAAAATAAAGCCTTCAATTTATATAATAATAATAATAATACTCTCCCTAATTCACCCCCTTACGAGTGAATTTTAACCCCAAAAGCTGAGCTTGTGCGGGGAAAGGGACGGCTATTATTTACCGTGGCGCTCCGGGGCAACTTAAAGATGATTGATGGTGCCATTTGACTTACAGGTGAGGAAAACCCGGAAAACCTCACCCACCATCAGACCTAGACATAAGAAAATTAACGTTCCTGAAGGTGTTCAAACTGAACAATCAAAATAGAAATAAAGAAAGGATAAGTGGAAAAATATGATTAAAGATACAAACCTTGTATGAGTAATCTTCTTTGGCAAGCTGAAATGTGGTTAACAAGAGATCTTCAGTGTAATCTTCATCCTCATCAGTATCCAGATAAGTATAACCTCTTGGAGAAAAGTCGGTTCCACCAATAGGAACTCTGCCTAAGTTGTACTCTATACCATCGTCTGAAAAATAGGACCTACAATTTTTTTTAAATGATGTGTGCAAGTACTCGCGTATTCATGTACTTACCTCATAAGTTTGTTTTGTAAATCTTTATTCAAACTCTTAATATTGATTCCAGCAGCATCAGTAAAAGCCCCACCAAATCCCAAAATGCTTTGATAAGTCACATCTTGATTTATCAGTATTTCTTTAGTTTCCGTTTCGGTTTTTTGGGTTATGTTCCACAATTTCTTAACCGATCTATAATGCTTTCTCCTAGACATTGGATAATCCTTTAACGTTTGCTGTTTACAGCCTTGTTTACTGAAATATCCGCGCTTGTTGTCTCTTTTTACGCGTTGGAACTTGTTTGTGGTGATGTTGAACCTTTGACCTGCCTTATCAGATGTATAGACGATGTAGGATGTTGCTTCGACTTTTTGGACTCGAGGAATTGCATCGCAGTGTTGAGTGTTGCAAACGCAGACTATACTTCCATGGCCGTAGTCTCGTGGTAGACAGTTATATGCTAGAGCGGCGGACATATCTGAAATAAGTTAGAAATGTATATAAATCATATTGAAATTTTTATAAAAAAATTGGGCTTGTTCAAAATTAAATTAAAAAAATACTGGAAGGAGAAGAAGATCTGCTGTACATTCTTTCCAGAGTTAGCTCAGGCTTTCGATAAAGTATTCGCTAGAGCGAAGTCATGGTACGGGAAGCTAAAGCGATACCAGCGCAAGCTACGGATAATTCGAGCACTTTAGGGCGATATTTTGTTATTTTGGAGTATCAAATAAACGAATATATTTTACTTTTTTTTTAAAAATTAATAAAAACAATAAGCAAACCGGAGTTGATGTGTTGTAAATTAAAAAAAAAGTAGCAAAAATAAAACAGTACCTATAAATTGTATAAGTTTTCAGTAGCAAAATGGAAATTAAAGAAATTAAAGAAATAAATGGATAGCGGTATTTACAATAAGAAGAAAAAAGTACCTTTAATTTTGTAATAATACCAGTATTATCGTAAATAGTAGATATCAGAAAGAAGAAAGGTTTTAAATAAACAATTTTACGATGTTCTTCAACATTCTTTGAATCATAAATGTTCAGCAAGGACTATATTTCTGCCTTTGATTATGGTATGTGGCTGATTGATAACCAGTTTTAATTATTAATACTACATTTTCTTTAGAAATAAAAATGAAGAAAATTACAATCGAAAATATACCGATTATTTTTCTTTTGGTTCTACGTTTTTATTTAATGGCATTTTTTATTTTGCCATTTTTTAACCAATTCTTCAATGACAACATATTGGGGTTAGGCAACTTCTCATACATTTTGTCGTAAATACTGTTACCTATGTTTTATTATTGATTTTTATTGATTATACTTACTTTTATTAAGCTAAATAAATAAAAATTAATAACGATAAACCAACATATACAGTAGTTGGCTCTGCTGTCATGCATGGTGTCAAAAGTTGGAAGGCCTTGGATATAAAATAAATTAACTTTTACTCAAGCAATAATGTGAAAACTGTTTATATATAATTAAAATCTATTTGATGAATATAATTTTAAGAGTAAAATAAGAAGAAGATTATTCCATGTTTAAAGATATTGAAGCACAGGCAGGGGTGGATGGGCCCACCGGGAAACTGGGAGATTTCCCGGTGCGCCGTTCCTACAAGCGCCGGTAATGGCCGGTCCAATCATCGACAGTCGTTGGTCCTAGGGCCGATAGTGACCGGTGCCGATATGCGATAAGCGCCACCGCGGTTTTTTATTTTCTGGATTTTTTTTCTAAAATAATTAGGGAAGTCAATAATTGACCTCATTTAAAATTACATGGGATTTCCTATATCCCGCTTAACGATGCAAGGTATAAACCCGAGAATACCGATCAAGGAGAAGCGACAGTAGCTGTCGGTACCTTTGATATCGGATGTACTTTTTTCACAGCATGACTTTGATTAATACACACCTTAGCACCCTGAGAAAACATGCTTATTTTCTACACAGAGCGAAATGTGTAAATTTCGAATTTTGAAGAAAACTCAAAAACGGATAAATAAAAAAACATTATATTTTAAACTTAAGGTTTATTTCGGCCTGACGTGATATGATTAGATTTTGGACAAAGTCGGAACATCTGGGGGGGTACTTTATGGGAGGCCGTTTTTATATTTTATGGAATATATCTGTTATTTATGTTTGGAGAAGAAAATTGTTCAAATAAAAGTTACTTCTAATATTATTATCTATAATTTTTGTTTTATGTCAAAATTTTCTGAAATGGTCCGTATTCGATAAATTTGACAAAATGTGTAAAATTCTGATTTTTATGAAAATTGTTGAACTAAAAGTTGTTTGCGATATCGATTTCTATAATTTTTGTTTATACATGATTTTTCTAAAATGGACCGTAATGGAAAAGTGCTAAATTTAAATTTTTCAGTATTTTCGTTTTCAATGAATATCTATAGAAAAATGTTTCGAGGTAGATGTATGTGGACAATGTATATATTTAGTTTATCCTCTAAACATTTATAGAGATGCTGCAATAGGTTGTACAAAATAACCGGAAAAAGCCTATAATAACTAGATAGGAAAGTCATGTGTTGGACATATCAGATTTTTTCTCTCAAATAAATAGTACATATAGGGACAGGGACAATTTGTAGTAAAAATTTCCAAATATTTGTAGAGAATGTATTGTAGAGTTATTATCTACAATATGTAGTAAAAATATCCATAATTTATCACAAGAATTGTTCTACAAATTGTTATAATTTTTGCTATTCATTGCATGAATTTATATTAAAAATGTATTGCGTTTTATGAAAATAAATACGAAAATTTTACACAATAAATAGTAAAAATTCATACAAATTGTAGTAATTTTTAATAAAAATTGTAGTAGTATTTTATAATTATTATAATTATAACCTAGAAAAAATGTTCCTTAATAAAATATTCAATTTATTGTTTTAATATAAAAGATACAAATTCTTAATTACATTATGTAATAAATAACAGTAATAATAGCGCCCTCAGTCTCAGTTAGCTTTTCTGCACCTGAAAAATATGAAATACAAATTAATACCTATTGAACTGTTCATACCCTTAAAACGGGGATATTTATCACCTTTACACTGATTTGGATATTAAATGACTAAGTCAGATAACTAACAAAAATGAGAAAGTAGGTATGTCACAATTAAGACAAAAAAAAATCATTGAACTTGGCACAACATTCGATCGTTGACCACAACTATTTTTTTTTAATAATCTACTAAGGTTATTTAAATTAGTTATCTGAAGGTAAATTATTCAGAAACAATATTAGATGTACTTACCACTAATAGAAGTTATTATTAAAATATTCTCAAAAGCATCGGTGCTTATAATATAATAATGTGTTATAGGTACTCGTATATGTACCATGCTTTGTTTTGTGAACATGGCGAACGGCTACTGCTGTCTGGCCATTTATGATCGACGTCAGAAAACGTTGGCCAATAGCAGAATTCTGTTTTATTCACATGACTTAAAATTTATACAATATTATAGAATATTTTTGAACAAAATTGAATTTTTTTCATAAGAAGGGATGTAAAGTATTACTATTTTTTGTAGAGAAATTTACTATTTTTTGTAGAGATAATTATTAATATTTGTACAAATTTTTACAGAAGTTAGTAGTAGTAATTTTCTACAAGTCTACTACTACAACATTGTAGTAAAATTTTCTAGTCACATTTTTTTCCGTGCACTTTCTGTTTAAATAATATATTTAAATTGGTCTTCTATATTATTTCTATGGCCTGTGCAATGCCAGTTGCGAAGTTTTAACTTCAGAGTAGAAAGTAGAGGATAGATACCATTGGATAAACTTATAGTTTAAGTATTTAATAAAAGATACATTTCTGGTTGACTGGAATATAGCAAGGTGCAATACAAACTAACAAAACAAAAAAAATAAAAATTTAACCTAATAGACTTATCGAATGTTTTTATCGTATCACATAGAGTATGATAAATATAAAGTGTTATGTACCAAGTCTTCATATAACAAGTTTTATTCTGTCTCGTATTGTAGATAAAAAATAGACAAGATTTATCTAGTGTTTATAATAATATTAATTCTATTAATATAATTTTAACAAATTTTTACATAAATAATCTTATCATTACTTCCCTCTATGTTGTAACAGTTAAAAATAAACATTTGAAATGTCCTTCAGTAAAAATTACAATATTTTTTTTTTAAATAATTATGTAAGATAGTAATATAAACATCGTATTATAACATAAATGCTATGATTTTCGTTATCTTAACAATAAAAATATATTCGAACGTTATTCATTCAGTTCATTTTGTTTTACCAAATCAAAATAGAAAAATGATTTAAAACGATAAATTGAGAAATGTCGAGATAAATTGTAATGCGGTGCGTCACAAGATATACAGAATGTATGACTGAAAGGAAACACTATCTCCAGAAAAAAATTTGCATCAGAAAAAATGAACGGTGTATATAAAAAAAAATTACCAAGGAATTACAAGAGCTATATTCAACGAACCAGACATTGTATACAGAATTAAGGGATATACCAATAATAATAATATTTTAATTCTGTAAAAACCAGTTCATAGAGCGCTAAGAGAGCTTCAGTTTTAGATATAAATTAATTTTAAATAGGTCAATGTGTCAGAATTTTGCTTCAAAGTCGCCCTCTGAAAGACATGTCTTCTGCAAATCTAACCATTTGTGCTATAATTGCTTGAGTAGTTCTCATGACCTGAGGTCTTGCAATAGTACTCAAGGTTGTAGATATTGTTTTTCAAAATCACATCATAGCTTGTTGCATTTTGATCGGCAAATATCTCAAAATCATTGCCCTTTGGACCGCTTGCCTCCTACTTCGTCTACGTCTCTGCCAAATTTCACTAGTACTAGTACTTTAGGGAATCAAATTCTTACCGCTCAAGGAGTAATAGAATCAAGTCGAATTTTATTAGCTACCGCCCTTATCGATGTTCTTGATAATCGAGGAATTTACCGCTCATATCGCTGCTTACTAGATTCAGGAAGTATGAGTTCGTTTATTTCCAAGCGAGCTGCTACTCGTCTAAATCTTGCCCAAACTGAATTTTCCGTAGATATTAGAGGTTTAGACTCGATGACATCTACCCTTGACACTGCTCGTGTAGGGGTAACGTGCAAACCCCTTAATCAGCCAGAACCTAAAATATATCTAGATGCTATTATCGTTAATCAAATATGTGATAACCTTCCTGATTCTACATTACCTATTCATAATTGGTCTCATCTTTTGGATCTTAAGCTTGCTGATCCCAAATATTTTACTCCAGGTCCTGTCGATCTGTTACTTGGGGCAGATGTCTTTCCAAAACTATTATTAAATGGACATGTTACCGGAACCATATCTGAACCTGATGCCATTCATACAATTTTTGGTTACGTGATTTTGGGAAAAACTTCTTCAATACCTCGTCCTGTTATATCCAC